ATGTTCCTGATTCATGACTTGTAGATGGTGTACTGGCTTTGTTGAATCAGGAAGTGAGTTACATGTTATAGGTTTGACATCGGAGCAGAAATAGACTATTCATCAATTCTGCTGCACCATTCATTGAGATCATGTCTGCTTTCATAATCCCCAACTCCACTTTCCTGCCTTGTCCTCATAACCTTAGATTTTCAATCTCAGCCTTGAATTTGCTGAGTGACCCAGCCTTGACAAACTTCTGTCATAAAGAATTCTACAGATAAATTACCTTCTGAGGGAAGAAATTCCTCTTCCTATCTGTCTGTCCTGCTGTTTGCAGCTGTTGTATTTGCCTAGCTAACCCAGTTCAGTTTCTTGGTACTGGTAACCCCCAATTATTGGATGGTTTATTACTTGTAAATGATTGGCAAGAGGTGATCGTTGGCTGCACTGTTATTGGCGATGGCCATTGCGTGGCACTTGTGTCATGAATGTTACTTGCCACCTGTCAGCCCAAGCCTGGATATTGCTCGGGTCCAACTTCATATGTTCAGGACTCCGATTTTGAAGCAGTCTGCAAATGATCATAGTTATGCAACGCAGAAGAGGCTGTTTGGCCCATTAGGTCAGCACAGACTCATTTACTCTAATCTCCTCTTCCAGCACTTAGGCCATTGCATTGAAAGCTAAAACATTTGTATTGCTCATCCATGTACTTTTCTTTTAAAGGTTGTGAGGATTCCTGCTCCAACTACCCTCCCAGGCATTCCAGAAATAATGCTGAATGCTTTTGCAATCATCTGAGAGCAACTCCACTTATTTGGAGGGAAGGCCATGGCTGCTGGTGCACCCCAGTACCTTGTCCGTGTGACCATACTTTGAGGCAATGAAGACAGAGTGTAGACAGCCATTTTGGGTGTGGAGTGCACTGCCATCATTCATAGTATTGACTGTTGGTTTAAGACAGAAATTGAGAGTTTGTCGCCATAGTAGCTAGGGCAGGAAATCTGGAGGTCTTCTATTCCTATATTAAGAAAGGAATGAGCTGGTGTACTTAGCCATCTTGGCTTAGCCCTGTTAATTGAGCACAGATGAGTTGTCAGCAATTCACAAATTCAACTGACCAAGAGCTTTGTCTTATGGGCAACATATGTAAACATTTTCTTTTCTGGAAGAGTACCCAAAATTTAAACTCTTGAAAGGCTCTTTGCTGTTACTGTACAAGCACTGGAACGACTACAACAGGAAACTTGAAAGTATCAACACATTCCTCCCAAATGTACTGCACAATCAATGTTTCTGGAAAGTCAATCTGGAAGCAAAACTGCCTGGATATCCAAAATAAGAGAGTAGATCCTGGAAGTACTCCCCAGGTCTGGAAGCAGTTTTTAGAGAGAAACAGAACCATCATTTCGAGTTGATGACCTCCTCTTGACTGACCTAAAACAGTGGAAAAGAGGCGGTTTTCATCATTCCCCCAGTTGAAAACTGCGGAATTATTTTTTCCATACGCTGTAGCAGGAATTTGCTCCCCAAACTGCAGCTCAGGTCCAATGATAAAGTGGCTGGAAAGGCCATTTGCAGGCAAAGTCGAGCCCTCTTTGACACAACAATAGCTGAAGCCATGAGAGTTTCATGGCTTTCAGTTTTAAATTATTTACTGTTCTTTTATTTGCAGTTCCCCTTTAAACCCTACAGCACTTTTTTTTCCTCAACGTTCACTGCTTGTTAGAGCCGCAACATGAATAGAAAGGGTTTAGAGGGGTATGGGCCAAATATAGGAAAATGCGACAAGATCAGTTTAGGATATTTGTTTGGCATGCACCAGTCGAACTGAAGGGTCTGTTTCCTTGCTGTATAACTCTGTGACTATAAGATCCAGGCCATTAGCAATTTTTCTCTCTCCCGATTTTTCAGTTCTTTGCTTAAGATTTTCATCTCCTACAATACTTTGGGCAGCCTTGTATTAAAGGCACAGGAAAACAAAGTGGGGTACAGGACGCGAACTAGATCTACAAAATGGAATGCTGGGTCCCAAGTTCTGAGGCAGCAGTGGTTGCTATGGAGCTCTGACCTCGTTGCATCAGCAGTGGCCTGTCTTCTGACAGGTACCTGCTCTTACAACCATCTTGGTCTCCACCACTATGTCCATTCTTGACTTTTTCCATTTCTCAATGGGGTGCTGACAATCTTCAAGCTCAGCGGGTCATAATGGGAGAAAGTTTGGGAAGCACTGCCTCAGTATTTAACAGACCTCATTCACGTGTATCCACTGCATATTATCACAGATCCTGAATTTGACATTATCCTCATAGACTGGTTTAACGTAACAAAGACTATGTATTGAAGAAAAAAATTGTGGATATGTTGCAATGTCTGAGTAGTTTCCTTCCGTGCTTTAGGATTACGAATCTGTAAGCAGCCCATTCTGTAGGGATGATTGAAAGATCAGCCTAAACCTAATAAGATACAAACCACTTCAAGCATCATTAGTTTTTTCAAAGTCAGTTGGTCAAAGTGATAACTATCAGTGACCATATTTTAGATCAGGGATAACAGTTTTGTTGCACAAAAGGTCTGAAAGAGTGAACATGAGGAGTGCCAAAAGCACCACCCACTTTGTCATATGAACTTGTGGGCAAAACAGGTTTGGATCTCAAAGGAGGGAGACCTGAACACCTGGCTTTCCAGATCTTGCGGGGACTTCTCTGTGCGGGAATCAAAAAGATGTTTCCTTTAGTGGGAGAATTGAGAACAAGGGACCTTAATAAAATAAGAGGTTGCCCATTAAAGACCAAGAAGGAGATATCATTTTCTTTAGATGGGTTCTGAGCCTTTGGAATTCCTTTCCTCAAGAAACAGTGGGTGCGGAATCTTTAAGTATTTTTAAGGCGGACAGTAGTGGATTCTTGATCACCAAAGGGATTGAAAGATTATTGGAGGAATGCAGGAACGTAGACCTGAGATTAAAGTCAGATCCGCAATGTTTTTATTGAATGACGGAGCAGGCATGAAGGGCTGAGTGGCCTTCTGTTGTTCCTTATTCATCTGTTTGTTTGCATGGCCTCGCAGTCTCTGTAACAATGTCTCATATCAATGTAGTGTGCTGACTCACTGGGGTAGCACTCAGGAAATTGACCCCCGCTATTCCTGGAGGTTTCTCAAAAGGTTTTGAGAAGTAAGCAAAGTTCCCCAATTTCCCTGACTCCCAGATCCAGGTTTACAGAACACATAGACAGGTCTTCTGTACTGAACAAGAATGACAGTTCTTTTCAATTAATTAGACTGCAGCTCCTTCTATAAACTGTCAGCATATAACACTGCTAATTAAAACAATAATCCCGTTAATACTCCCTTACACACAGGTAACTAACAGACATGGTTTATAAAAAGGTATAAACAGAAGGGAAGAACTGTAAAGACAGTTCTTTGTCCCCCAGGTTCTGTAGTTGAGGTGATCCTTATGACTCTTCTGCAGGCCAGCACGTTACTTCAGTTGTCTTTCTCCAGAAGACTCCAATGCAGCTGGTTCACTCATGAAAGGTCTCTGACCTATCAGTTAAAGCCACACCTTAGTGTAACTGTAGCAGGAAAGAAACTTTTTTTTGGTCAAGTTTACAATGAGTTTTTATTGTAGAGAAAACAGACCACTCCCTAGCTGGGAAGAACTGAATTGCACTCTCGCTCTCTCGCTCTCTCTCACACGCACACTTCAATCTCTATCTCTCCATCCATCCCTCTCTCTTTATGTATATATCCTTAGCTCTCTCTATATCTATCTCTTGCTCCATTCCCCTCTCACTCTGATGCTCGCTGTTGCACCCACTCTCTTGCTTGTGCTCTCTGGCTCTCACTCTCTCTCTCACGCTCGCACTCGGGCTCTCTCGCAACCTCATGCACTCTCTTGCTGTTTCACTTTCGCTCGCGCTCTCAAGCTCTCTTGCTCTCATGTGCTCTCTTGCTTTCTTTCTCTCGTATGCTCTCTCGCGCTCTCGCTCTTGCTCTCTAACTTGTTCTCTTGAGAACCAATCTCGTGTTTGTTTGCAAGCAAAAAGATTTCTGTCACTGATAACTGGTCACTAGTCCACAGACCAATCGACTTTGTGTTGCCAGCAAAAGCTGCATCAATATATCCCTCAACCAAATTGTCAGCAAATCAAATTTCAATTACCGCTTGTTCAAACTGTTGTTTACTGCCACGGGTGTTAGATTACTTGCTTTCAATATATGCAGCCAGCCTTTCAAACACTGGTTTGAAACTGCACTGTCTCATTTCAGTCCACAGTTTTATAATTAGAAAAAACACACAATAAAAAAAGTCAAACTCCTTATGGTAGATATTTCAAATCAACCTATTGAGATATATTCTGATGCATGTTTTGGGTAAGTGGGACTTGAATCCAGACCATCTGGTCTAGAGGTAGACACTACCATGTGCCAAAACACCCTATTATCGTGTCATTTCAGCCTTTAACTAGTTGCTGTCGTGCATCGTGTATCTTGCAAGGGGCCCTTCTAATTTGAACAGGCAATAATTTGTCTCACCGAAACTATATACCAAGCAAGCTCTGTCGTTTTCTGCACTTAGAGGATGGTGGTGGCAACAACCTTCTTTTGTGAGGAGAAGCTTGCACAGCACAATGCATGACAAATTTGCAGCCTAATTCCGTGGTGGAATTTAGGTTTGGAGTCACAATGGCCCTGACAGTTTACGACTTTACCATTTCTCCTGTAATTTTAAAAGTGCATTCTCCACAGAAAGTAAATGGAGCTTCCATTACAATGGTCATAATCAAAGTGCCTTGTCTGACACAATCGTGATTTTTTCATTTCCAATTAAAAAGAATTACAGTCCTGAATTTATTATTGAAATAAAATTTTGGTGATAGATTTAACTCTTAATGGCCATGGGATGCATACCGTTCACTTAAGCATTGATCAGAAAGACTTAAAGTGATTTGAAATGCTTAACACATCAGAATCAATAACTCATTAACTCTCTTCTTCTGAAATATTTCTAGGCCACTTCGGAATAACCATATCGGTGTCAAACTGCAGTCATTTATAGACCAGACCAGGTAAGGACAGCGGATTCTTTTTATTAGAAAGAACATGAATTAGCCAATTTTTTTTTTTTAGTGACAATTCAAAAATGTTATACTCACACTTTTCCCATTTATTAATTTGTTGAGCTGAATTAAATTACACAATTCACCATGGTGAGGGTTGAACTCCAGTTCTACTGAATTATTTTGTCTCGGCAACAACAACGCTGCTATATCAGTGCTTACATCTTCATTACAGGAGATACAACTTAGTGAGAAGCAGGGGGAAGTAGAAAGTATCATGGGCATCAACCATAAGATCACAACTTATGATTTCACCACTCAGATTTGGTTTAGTTTATAAATAAACTTGTTAACTCTTCTAATTGTCCACAATATTCTCCATATTAATATGTTTACAGTCATTGAGTCTCTAGATTACTAGTCCAGTAATGTAACCAGTAACGTCCAACCACTCCACCTCCCAGTCCCAAACATCAAAGATTTTTCACCTCACTATCTGTGATAAGTGGAGGCCAATTGTTTTTCCCTACCAACTTGGTTTGACATCAACCTGGACCGGAACCAAGAACCTTTCTGTTTTGTATAGATCAAATCCAAATGGGGCAATGCATTCAGCAACTGTATGCTTGTTTTTATTTGAAGTAGCACTGCGGGAATTTGTGCTATAACAAATGTCTGTCAAGATTTTGAGGAAACTGCAATTTAAATGTATTTTCTCTGGAGGCAATGTTATCTAAGCAATTCGGACTGGACTATCATCTCCCAATGGCAGGTAAATCTGATCATTGAATGGATGTATTTGTCATTTCAGCAAGTGTTTTACACATGGAGTCATAGAGCTGTACAGCACAGAAACAGACCCTTCGGTCCAACTCATCCATGTCAACCAGATATCCTAAATTAATCCAGTCCCATTTACCAGCATTTGGTCCATATCCCTCTAAATTCTTCTCATTCATATACCTATCCAGATGCCTTTTAAATGTTGTAATTTTACCAGCTTCCACCACTTCCTCTGGCAGCTCATTCCATACATGCACCACCCTCTGCATGAAACCGTTGCCCCTTAGGTCCCTTTTAAATCTTTCCCCTCTCACCTTAAACCATACACTCTGTTTTTGGACTCACCCACCCTGGGGAAAAGACCTTGTCTATTTACACTCTCCATGCCCCTCATGAATTTATAAGGTCACGCCCTCAATCTTCCGACTCACCAGGGAAAATAGCCCCAGCCTATTCAGCCTCTCCCTATAGCTCAAACCCTCCAACCCTGGCAACGTCCTTATGAATCTCTTCTGAACCCTTTCAGGTTTCACAACATCCTTCCTATAGCAAGGAAACCAGAACTGTTCACGTTATTCTGAAAATGGCCAAACCAATGTCCTCTACAGATGCAACTAATCACAATATATATAAATGATTTGGATGAGGGAACAAAATGTGACGTCTGCAAACTTGGAGATAATACCAAGTTGGGTAGGAGGGTGAACTGTGATGAGGATGCAGAGATCCTTCAGCATGATCTCAGATTTGGTGAGTGGGCAAATCAGTGGCAGATGTAGTAAAAATTTGGAAAAATCTGAGGTTATTCACTGCGGAAGCAAAAACAAGAAGGCAGATTACTACCTGAATGGCTGTAAACTGGGAGAGGGGAGTGTGCAGTGGGACCTGAGTGTCCTTGTGCACCAGTCTCTGAAGGTAAGCATACAGGTACAGCAGGCGGTAAAGAAGGCTAATGGTATGTTGGCCTTCATTGCGAGAGGTTTTGAGTACAGGAGCAGGGATGTGTTGTGGCAGTTATACAGGGCCTTGGTGAGACCACACCTGGAATATTGTGTGCAATTTTGGTCTCCTTTTGAGGAAGGATGCTCTTGCTCTCGGGAGTGCAACAAAGGTTTACCAGGCTGATTCTGGGGATGGTGGGTCTGATGTATGAGGAGAGATTGACTAGGTTGGGATTATTTTCGCTAGAGTTCAGACGAATGAGGGGGTTTCTTATAAAGACTTCTAAAATTCTAACAGGACTGGACAGGGTAGATGCAGGGAGGATGTTCCTGATGGTGGATGCGTCCAAAACCAGGGGTCACAGTATGAGGATTTGGGGTAGATGATTTAGGATGGAGAGGAGGAGACATTTCTTCATCCAAAGAGTGGTGAGCCTGTGGAATTAATTACCACAGGAAGTAGTTGATGCCAAAACATTGAATGTATTGAAGAGGCAACTAGATATAGCACTTGGAGTGAATGGGATCAAAGGTCATGGGGAGAAAGCAGGATTAGGCTATTGAGTTGGATGATCAACCATGATCGTGAAGAATGGTGGAGCAGACTTGAAGGGCTGAATGGTCACCTCCTGCTTCTATCTTTTTATGTTTCTAAGTTTCCCAATTCTTATACTCAATGTGCTGACCAATAAAAGCAAGCATACCAAACACCTTCTTCACTATCCTTTCGGCCTGTGAAGCCACTTTCAAGGATCTATGAACCTGTGCTCCAAGGTCTCTTTGTTCAGCAAGACTCCCCAGGACCTTACCATTAAGACATTTTGTGGAATTTAAGAGGATAGCTTTTAATGTACTTGGGCTGGGTTAAGTATAATAAAACACTCCAAGTTTCTCTCACGTGCAGACATACGTATCTCACAAACATGATTGGATTGGGGAAGGATAGATCAACTGAAGTAGGGTATAGTGAACTTAACAGCTTGATGTTTTCAGGTCGAATACGCAGGTCCTGCAACTTCCAGTGTAGGACTGATTTAAAATGCAGACAGTTTTATTTGTTCTTTTGGAGATGGTGGTGCTGGGTTGATTTCAAATTCTGTCTGGAACCTGGAGTAATCACGTACAGACAAAAATTACAAATTATATAGGGAGGAAATTACAAATCTAGGCCTTGTCCCTCACCTGCTGGTGGTGCTCTGCAGATAAAACAGGTGTTTAAAACAAAGGATTAACTTGTCACAGACCTTCTCTTTCTAACTGCCCAGGAATTCAAACAAGTTTGTGTGACCAACATTTTTCAATTCTATTTTGAATAAATCTCTCATAATAGAATCCCTACAGTATGGAAACAGGCCATTTGGCCTAACAAGTCCACTCCAACTCTCCAAAGAACATCCCAGTCGGACTTACTCCCGTACCCTATCCTTGCATTTCCCATGACTAATCCACCTAACCTACACATCCCTGGACACTATATATGGGCAATTTAGCATGGCTGATCCATCTAAACTGCACATCTTTGGACTGTGGGTGTAAACTGGAGCACCTGGAGGAAACCCACACAGACACGGAGAAAATGTGCAAATTCCACACAGACAGTCACCTGAGGGTGGAATTGAAATGGAGTCCCTGGCGCTGTGAGGCAGCAGTGCTAAACAGTGAGCCACTGTGCCATCCCATGACTGAGAATCCTGAATTAGCCAGAGTTCTATTGTTCAAGTGATAAATCTAATGATTATCCCCTCCCTGTTGAGGTGACTGGCTGTTGTGCTCATAGGCTAAGAGGTCTACTTCATTCCCATTCCTTGAGTTCATCATTTTTTTTTTTGTACTGACAGGTTGACTCCATTCCAGCCCATTGGACTGTAGAAGGTACAATTATGAAAATTGGCTGCAAGCTCAATTCAATGTGGTTTTAGTTCCTCAAAAAATCGATTAGGAATTTCTCTAGGAGAGACTGTTACCCAAGGGCACAGCTTCAGAGTGAAGGGATGACCCTTTAGGACTGAGATTATTTTCAGCCAGAGGGTGGTTAATCTGTGAAACTAATTGCTGAAGAAGGCTGTGAACATCCAAGTTATTGATTTGTCTTTAGCACAGAGATAAATAGGCTTTGGATTAGTAAGGGGATCAAGGGAGGCAGGGGAATGAGGTTGAGAAATATATCCGCCATGATCGAATGATGGCGCAGACTTGATGGGCCAAATGGCCTAATTCTGCTCCTTTGTCTTCTGGTCTCTCCAGTGGGCACACAATATTTTTGTTGTACAGTATGTTTTCGTAACATTTGACAGCTATCATTTCTCTCCTGAATATACTGGGGCGTTCAACTATATTGAAGGAAAATGCACGTCATTCTAGTTTACTCACAAATCTCATTCCACCAGCAATTCTGTGCTTGCTGACCAAAATTTGTTTCTGTATGACCAACACTTCACTTTCATATCTCACCCTTTGTCAACCCTCATCCTTCCCCATCTCAACAATTAGCCCCTGATCAAAACTCTTAGATAATTTTCCTGAATTCTGGCCTTTGTGCACACTTCCATCCTTTCCCTGCCATTGAGAATCAGCCCTCAGTTGACTGTACTTTTGAGCTCTGGATTTCTTTCTTTACACTTTGCATCTTTCCTCCTCTTTGACAAAGCTTTTGATAAAATTTCTCTTTCTGTGGTTTGTTTTGGTTGATTTTTGATTATCTCTTAGGGATTGTCTTGGATATATTACCATGTTGAAATAACTAAATAAATGCAAGTCATTGTTGTGGAAATACATATCTGCTGCAGCTGAACCTGATCCTCCTTTACAGACATTCAGTATGAGGTACTGCCTAGGCCAGACACCTTTGTACTCAATTTTTCTTCCCTATAGGGAAATATTAAAATCTCTCCCATTTTCATGCAGTTCAAGTTAGAATTGAGCAAAGGCAACCAAATTGTCTGCTAAATCCACAAGTTGCCACGACTGTTGAAGGATTTAATTAAGATGGCATTCATTCTTTTGCTACTCCTAATCAGTTTGAATACAGTTTATAATAGGTGATATGAATTCCTGATAGTTTAACTTTTTTAACTGAGGTGGGGGCAGTCAAGTGCACCTTTATGGCCTTTATAGAAATAATTGATTAGACTGACTTATTAACTTTAGTCTGGTTGGATCATGTGTTTTATATCAAAACTAGTCCCTTTAAAGTTTGCTCAGGTTGCAGACTTGCATCCTTTGGACAAAAGTGGTCTTTTAACCTGCTGCCAACCTTTTCATTTCCTGTAGAGCTGGAACATATCT